CTGAGCCGAAGGCAGACGCTTAACCATCTGAGCCACCCAGGCGCCCTGATATCTGTGTTCTATACAGTGGTGACTCCGATGTTGAACCCCATAATTTATAGCCTGAGAAACAAGGATGTCAAAGGGGCTCTCTGAAAACTAGCTAGGAGAAAGTCCTTTTCTCAGAGGCAGTCATCTCTGGGTCTAACCTTTATTTTATTTTTTTATTTTTAAAGATTTTATTTATGTATTTGAGAGAGAGCCCAAGAGCTGGAGGGGGTAGGGGGAGAGGGAAAGGGACAAGCAGACTCCCCACTGAGTGGTGAGCCCAAGGTGGGGTTCATTCCCAGGACCCTGAGATCATGACCTGAGCTGAAGTCAGAGGCTAAACCTACTGAGCCACCCAGGAGCCCCTATTTTATTTTATTTTATTATTTATTTATTTATTTTTAGAGGGAGAGTGCGCACCTGCGCATGCAAGCAGGTGGTGGGAGGGGCAGAGGGAGAGACAGAGAGACTCTTGAGCATACTCCATGCTCAGCCCAGAGTTGATTAGGGCTCATGCTTAGGACCCTGAGATCTTGACCTGAGCGAAAATCAAAAGACGAATGTTCAACCAACTGAGCCACCAGGCACCCCTCTGAGTCTGACTTTTAGAAATATGGTAACATTCTTAAAAGAGGTACAGGATTTTGGTAGATAATTATGAATTAGTTCAGGAAGCATAAAAGTGAAGGACATTTCTAAAAATCATGAATACTCCACACTAAGCTAGAACACAGAGGAGAAATAAAAGGATAAAAAGTTAGGTTTTCTTTTCTTCTTTTTTTAGAGATTTTATTTTTTATTTGATAGAGGGCGGGTTGAGGAGAGCACAGCAGGGGGAGCAGCAGGCAGAGAGAGAGGGAGAAGCAGGCTCCCCGCTGAGCAAGAAGCCCGATGTGGGGCTCAATCCCAGGACCCTGGGATCATGACCGGAGCCGAAAGCAGATGCTTAACTGACTGAACCACCCAGGTGCCCCAGGTTTTCTTGATTATGAAACACATCAAGTGCTATTTTGAAGTTTGTAGTTAATTCAGCTAACATGGATATGTTTAAGCATAATCACAACTGAATCTAAGAGGTTTAAACTGGATTATTTTGAAATAACATCTAATATGAGTTGCGTACATGGTTCTAACATCAAAGATATTTCAGGTTTAGATGTCCCAGTCATACAAACCTAGGAATAGGCTCTGATAGAAGCAATCAATAAATCTGGAAGAGTCTTTAATACTGGGATCATTCATGGCTTGGTGCATTTCAGCTTGTAAAATGCCACCAAAAGCAAAATACTTACTAGTTCATAATGTTCTCTCCTGAAAGCTTCAAAAAATTGAGTTTTGTTTTTTTTTTTATCTTATCCCACATTTCATAGAAACATAGACTATCAGGGTAAAAAGGGAATTTAACAGTCCTTTAACTCAAACATAGGTCCAAGGTTTAAACCACTCCACAATACTTCTATTGAATAATTATCCAGCATTGGCCTAAACAAGAATACATAGCTCCCTATTCTCTTGGATCATTCCTTTTCATTTATAAGTTGATCCTTGAACAACATGTGCCAACCCACATACTGGAAAATCCTCAAACAACTTTTGACTCCCCCAGTATTTAACTTCTAATAGCCTACTGTTCACTGGAAGCCTTCCCAATAACATAAACAGTCGATTAACACATATTTTCTATGTTATATGTATTGTATACTGTATTCTTAATAAAGTAAGCTAGAGAAAAGAAAATGTTCTTAAGAAGATCATAAGAGGGCACCTGGGTGGCTCAGTTGGTTAAGCATCTGCCTTCACCTCAGGTCATGATCCTGGGGTCCTGGGGCCAAGCCCCATATCAGGTTCCCTGCTCAGCAGGGAGTCAGTTCTGCTCCTCCCTCTGCTGCTCCCCTGGCTTGTGCTCTCTCTCTCTCTCTCACTCTCTCTCTCAAATAAATAAAATCTTTTTTTTTTAAAAAAAGAAGAGCATAAGAGAAAATATATCCACAGTACTGTACTGTATCAAAAAAAATACACATATAAGGGGACCCATGCAGTACAAACCTGCATTGTTCAACTATAGATGGTTCTTAGCTATTACAAAGACCTTCCTTATGGTAAGTCAAAATCAATTATCCTGTATCTTGAACCCACTTTCTAGTTTTAGTCCTAGAACAATTTTCAGTATTCTATACCAGAACTCATTGAAGTAAGTTTCTGTATTGGCCCAAATTCAATTCTCACAGCCAACCACCTACTTGTTTCTTTAAAGTTCCTTTATCTGACATGCTTTGGCACCCTGTATTCATTCTGGTCATCCTCCTTCGAATGAGCCCACTTTACCCAATGAATATCTCTTCCAAAACCAAACAGAAATTGGGATTTTAAAATTGGAGTTTCCCAATCTGAGGCTGACCCCTCCATAGGCTTAGATGTCTGTAACCACGTCTCACTGTGGCTCATCGTGTCTAGAATGGTCGATTCTGGGGACCACTTCAGGTTTCATAAACCCTTAGTCCAAACAATCTGGCCAACAGCCACTTGCCTATTTTACCCAAACATTTACTCAATCACATGTTTAGAGGGGATTCCATGACAACCATTCTATAGTTGCCATGGATACGAGTCCAGGAACCACAGACCTCAGTAGTCAGGAACTACTGACTCTGCAGTAGAAGACCTCCCCAGTGAAGTAAGATCTAGTAGCTAAATTCTTATTTCTTTCATTCATGCACCCATGCATTCATTTTAAATATTTATTTTATTTATTTGAGAGAGAAAGAAAGAGAGAACACAAGAAGGGGGAGGAGGCAGAGGGAGAGGGAGAAGCAGGCTCCCCACTGAGCAGGGAGCCCAAAGAGGGGCTCGATCCCAGGACCCTGGGTTCATGACGTGAGCCGAAGGCAGACCCTTAACCCACTGAGACACTCAGGCGCGCGCCCTCCATGCATTCATTATAAAACCATTTATTGAGCTCTTATTTCATTTTATCTTCTCCGACTCTACTTGTATCCAATATGCCCAGAGCAATGACTGACATGTGTGTTTCACACAATGAAATGTGTGTTTCAGTACACATTTTTGCATTTGTTACTACCCTTTTAAAATTACTGGACCTGCACTACAATAGACAAACTCTTATCTGGGCTGTGAGGATCAGAGAACAATCTCAGACAAACAGCAGTTAAAGTGATATAGACAAGGATATAGACAAGCGATATAGACAAGGATAAAACACTAATAGGTGAAGTTGGTGACTTGGCTGTCCATGATCATCTAAATGAGATCTATTTCAGTAACAGGAGGAAAAGTAAGGAAATGTAAACAGAAAATTTGGACACTAATTTAGAGAAGTCTCGCCAAAGGGGAAAAGAAGAAAGAAGTAAGGGATGAGAAAGTGGGATTGTGAGCTTTTTTTTTTTTTTAAATTAGATTCCTAGGTCACTTCTCCCATTTCCTTGAAGACTTTCACCCCTGGATCACTGTCACTTTCCCCAACACACTACTCCTGTTATAGATCTTAGGTATTCTAATTTTTACATAAAATGAAATATTCCAACTACTCTGCATTCTCAGAATTCCTTGATCTTCATTCCTCCACCGATCTCAGCCATCCACACCATAGTCATTTCTTTAATATTCTCATTACCAATGGTTGCCATCCCCACTCCAAATTCTGAAACCACAGGATCCTAAGCAAAATAAAATGGGTACTGTTTCAAGGCAGTAAGTTTTGAGGTGGTTTGTTATACAGCAATGGATAACTGAAATGCTGAGAGAATTATTCTCCCATTCCTTCCATCAAAATAGATGCCTGTAGGGCTTTTTCACACTACTAATAAAAGCTGCTATCTCTCTCAAAAGAAAAGAAAAAGCAAAAACCCCAAAACATGCTATCTCTCCTGCTATGGAGGGGAGGGAATAAACGGCCAGAAAGCTTCAAAAGAAAAAATTTTGAGCATACACCCAAAATTAATAATGAAGATAACGTATAGATTAGGGTTCTTAGTTGCAAGTAACAGAGGCCGACTATGTGTGATTTAAGCTAAAAGGAAAAATATTGAATGGTAATTCTGGTCCTGCAGCCAGCACCCCAGGCCAAAATCATATAGAATGGGTGTGATGAGAACATTGCTGCCATTCAGCACTAGATAGCAGAATTTACTCTGCCAACACCATCAGCCCAGGACCAGCTGCTGGAGCTGCTGATTCACTGAGGCTGGAATTTGGGTTGGTGCTTGCTTATTCAGCCACTGACAGAAAAGGAAAGAAACTGTGTTAACAGCAATAGTGATAAGTCGCGTTGATAGTATGTACCCTTGAGGTGATGTGTTGGAAATAGCACTTTATCTTTGTGATCTTCCTCCCCTACACCCATAACCTCAGTCTAATCATTAGAAAAAGATCAGACAAATTCTACTATGTGGGCTTCCTATAAAATACATGACAAGTACTCCTTAAAACTGTAACGGTCATCAAAAACAGGTCTGAGAAAGTTTCACAACCAAGAGGAGTCTAAAGAGATATGACAACTAAATGTAATGTGGCATTCTGGGTGGGATCCTGGATCAGAAAAGAGATAAAAGGGAAAAGAAAACAAAAGAAAAGAAAAAAAAACAAGAAAGGACATCCAAATCGTGTATGAATTTTAGTTAATAATAAGGTATCAATGGGGTGCCTGGGTGGCTCATTTGGCTGGACATCTGACTCTTGGTTTTGGCTCAGGTCATGGTCTTGGGATTGTGGGATCCAGCCCCACATGGGGATCCACGCTGCATGTGAAGTCTGCTTGGGATATTCTCTCTCTCTCTCCCCCTGAATCCCCCAGTCCCTCCCCCTGCTCACACTCACTCTCATAAATAAATAAATAAATAAATAAATAAATAAATAAATAAAATTAAAAAAAATAATACGCCATCTATGTTGATTTTTCTTAATTGTAACAAATACCATATTATAATGTAAGATGTCAATAATAGGGGAAAGTGTGTATATGATGACTCAGGGTAATTCTTATTTTCTCTGTAAGTCTAAAACTGATCTACAAAAATAAAGTCTATTTTTTAAAAAGAAAAGAAACAGTCTGCTGTCCTTGCTTTTTCATAGCACTAGCTCTTAATTCAGAGTCTAGACTGGGAGTATCTAATTGACTGAGTCCAAGATACATGCTATACCCTACCTGCAGTGAAGACAAAGAAAGTGAATTTCAAGTGGATTCAGCTTGTATGAAGGGAGGCAGGCTCTAACTAGTCCAAGACTCCCAGATGACTATAAATATGGAAAGGGTACTCAAATGATCAGAAGCCAAAAACTGACAAATGTCCACTACACATGGCCTATGAAACCAAATCACCCCCACTAATGTCTTGACTACCTACAGATTCCAGACTGACCAGTATAACTTATAATCTACATAACACAATATTCTGAGCATGGGTACAACACAAAATGTTGAGTAAAGAGATATAGTGGCTTAGCACAGGGAATGCTTCTGTTGGGCATTAAGATAGTCCTCATCTGATTGTGTTACTAATGTATTCCCTGCAGCTAGTACAATATCTGCCACATATTAGATCATCAGTAAAAAATTGCTGAATGAATATGTGGTCTAGGAAATGGATTGGCTTAACTCAAGTTTTCTCTGTATTTTTTCTTAAATGAATACAGACAGGTTCTAATTCAGAACATCTGGATGTCATGATGCTACAAGGAAATGGAGTTTGTAGCAAACAATTGCATGCATCTCAAGGATCAAGTCCCAGATAGCTTCAGAGTCCTTTACCTTTACAGTGAAAGTCATACATTGAGAGAAATCTTACAAGATTGTTCCATTAAAAAATATCTGGACCTTTAGTGAAGTGACTGCACCCTGAAAATTACCCCATTCAATTAGACAGCAGTCTTAGTGCTTCAGGGGACCTTTGAAGGCACATGGTCAGAAACCTCATATCCATAAGGTAAGAGAGAAAGCCTGGTCATTCTCCTTCCTACTTTGCGTCTTTTCCACTTCCCTGCTCTTCATTGGGTATGGATCATGTTTGAGACTATGTACTGGCAATACTTACAAGTTAAATTTCTGATTTTGCCTAGCTACTTTAATATGAATGCTGTAAAGGTCAACCTCATCACAAACAATTCATAGCACACAGTGTACCCCCAAACTTGGAAAATATCCATCCATAATTCTGCAATAACTTACTAATGGCCCCCTAAATATTGAAGTATTGAGTGAACAGCAGTGGTACAAGTAAGTGATCTGAGCTTGGGGCTTAGCTTTGTCAGATTTAATTTCCAAAAACTGGGGGATGATAATCTCTACCTCACAGTGTTGTGGTGATGAATGAGATGATATTTCTAATTTGCTTAAGACAGTAGTGAACAGAGAGGAAGTTAGCAAAAAATCTTCTAGCTCCCCTTTTGTTTTACTTTGTTCAACTCATAGTCTAGATTTAAAGCTCTGTCCCAGAGAGGCTTTCCCTGATTTACTAGTTTGAGTTCTTCCTCTGGGGCTCAATCCTGGACCCTCTCCTTTTAGCGTTTTCGCTTTTTCTCTTTCTTTCTGCAATGTCATCCTCACGCATAGCCTCAACTATCATCTACCCAGAATTGACACAAATTTCATACCTCTGCCCGAGACACCTCGAAGCTCCAGACACTTCTATCCATGTCTATTTGATAATGCTTCTTGGACATCACAAAGTATCTCATACTCAACAAGCCAAAACTGAACTCATGGACTTCCGCGAAACTTTTCACCTGGACGCAAAACAGAAGGAATGAATGAGTGACTCAATCAGTGAAAAACATGTTATACACAAATCGGTATCTTTTCGAAATTCTGCCATGTTTTTTGGTTCCACGCAAATGGGGTGGGGGTAGCACGGAGAAGGTGAGGAAGATTTTGGCCAGTTATCCGGGATGGGATGGCGGAAGCTAAGACTGTTTGACAGGCCATTCTCCCTGCACCTCACCCTCACCTCCTCCCTGACCAAGGCCCCCATCCACCCGTTCCTGGCCCTAGGGTTGGTCGCCAGTCTACGGGGTGGGCGGGGTTTGGGGAAGGGGGCGGGACTTGCAGAAGCCCCCATCAAGTCCGCGGCCTGGGGCCGCAGGTGCTGCTGGGGGCTCTTTCCAGGGGTGGTGCGCATGCGTGCGCCGGGGGCGCGCGTCGGCTTTTCCGAGACACAGATCTGGCGGCGGCGTTTAAGCACCTGGTGTGGTCACGGCTTCTTAGCTGTGGCGTGACTACCCACGCCGGCTGCCTCCGCCCGCGAGGCCGGCGGCCCCCGCGGCTGCTGGCGGATCTGGCGCCTGGGTGTGACCGCACGGAGCCCCCGCTGGGAGCGGTGCCCGCAGGTATCACTGGGTCAGCGGGCGGTGAGGACGCGGGTGTGCGGAATTGGGAATCCCGCTTGAGCGTGTCGGCTGGTTCGCAGTGAGGCGGCTTCGGGCGCGGCGCTCGGCTCCGCAGTCTCTGCGGGACCACCTGGAGCAGGGCACGGGGAGCGGGGGAGGCGTGGCTGCGCCGGAGAGCACATATACACAGCGTTTAGCGCCGGCCTCTCTTCCATTCTGTAACGGGGGGCAGTCTCCAGGCGCTCGACCTGATGAGAGTGGCTTCACCAGTCTGTTTGGGAATGACTGGTATTGATTCCTCGTGGAAATACCGAGTGTGGCAGGATCGATCAGCTGGAAAAGAAACTGGAGAAAACTTCATTCCAGCTTGCCTTCCTTCCTAGTCGTTCCTAGCCAGTGCTCCAAACAAAACTTCAAGGCATCTTCCTTATTTTCAGACGCTTCATTTGCAAACTGCTTCTGCGCCCCTTTATCTGCGCTATTCTCCAAAGTCTGTTTTTACCTCAAGCTGTGGCCCTGCCTATCAGCTGTTTGGTTTAAACAACCCTCTTTGCCCACAGATACTACCAGCGCACAATTGGCACCTGTTCAGTTTCCTCAGTGCTCTACAGTCCTTTGAACCTGTGTCACCGGGGTGGTTAACGCTCCAGATTCCTGTCACCTGCGCCTTATTGAGCCCTCCCTTCCCGTGGTACTGGCTCACAGTCTTAGCTCTTCATCCGGACTGCCACCATCGTCCTGAAAGGCGTCCGTTCAGTACTTTAACCGTTCTTGACTTTGTTAATTCCAGTGTTCATCGCTTACAGACCCCTTAAGCTTCTCGCAGTCACAGCCATACCTTGCACCTTCTATCATCCAAACTGTTCTTTTTTGAAATCTTAAATGCACGCATGTTCTCCTGAACATGTCTGTCCTCCTGGTTCTGTAATTACTGATACCGAGTAAGGTATTAATTTATATTTTAAGCTATAAAATCCCAGTATATTTTGTTGCTTTTTCTCACTTTGAGTTGGATATTTAATTCATCTCATTTTTCTTTAATTACAGATGTAAGGCTTTGACATTTCTAACAGTGGAACTTAAGCTGTGCTCTGTCGATTTTGATGTGCAATGTTTTTACTGTTTTGAATTGTATTTTGATGCAAAGTTTAAATTTTAAATTAGCTGAGAATTCTTTTTGTTTGTATTAAATTCTAGGTTTCATTCTGAAAGTGGTCTGTCTCACTGGTAGATACTTTTTATTTGAGGAGGTTTTTTTGTAACCAAATATATAGTAGCTTTTGTAAACATTTTTGTAAGTGATTGAATAGAAACTACATTCTACCTGGTTTTATATATCACAGTAAGCACATTTTCATATCTACTATATTATTACTTAATTTTAGTTTACTTTATGTGTTAAGGATTTAGAAAGTTGCGCTAGTCACTCCCGTTTCTGGCGTGTCATTGTTGAATTCATCTTTTGTTTTCTGAGGATTTTACAATAAATATATTCCAATTATGTTATTTGTTACATTTAACAAGTCATATTTCATTATAAGTTGTATCTTCAATCATTTAAAGTTTCCTTTTTGTCTACTTTAATGCATTTGTGCTTTTAAATCATTATATCCCTGCATATTGCTTACACTTGTTTATTATGTTTTTAATCATCCTTTTATTTTCAGCTTTCCAGTTCTTTTGTTTTGGATGTCTTTTGAGTGTTTATATAGTGAAATTTTTTATCCAGTACATTTACTGTTATAGTGGATATCCTTTTTATTATTTCTTCCTTTAATTTTTTAAATTTTTGTGCTTCCTTAGCGTTTCATTTTATTTTTAACATTTGCCTTTGAGCTTTTTTTTCTTCTTTCTCCCTTTATGGTAATTTAAAAAGTACCTGGCATGTAGTTCATTCTTTGGTGGGACTCCATCATGCTTCTGAAGCACTTTGAAACTTTTTTTTCCTTTTTTTCTTTTTTAATGGACCGTGCTTTCCTTAAGCTTAGAGTGTTGGATCTCAAAATCTTCCTTCAGTTGATCCACTTTGCCCTGTGTCTGGTGGACATATAAGAGGGGCACTAACGAGCATAGAAATGGTGCCAATACATCTCTACAAGATGGCGAGTGGAGAGAAACACAGTTTTTAAGGAACTGTAGAAAGGGCCACAACTTAGAATGTACTGTGAGGTAACCACAATGGAGGTGGAAGCTTCCTCTGAGTATCAGAAGTTCCAACACAGTGTGGGAGTGAGAATCCAGTAGAATAGAGGACTCGAGTGAAGGATTACATGTGAAACCTCTCTTTCTGTCATCTCCCCAACTTCCCCACCTGTTTCCCTTCCCACCTATATAAAGAAGCAGTTTAGCTAAAGTGCCTTCCTCCCACAAAAAGTTTTTTCCTAAATGAATAAACCATCTGAGGAGAACTAAGGCTTTTAATGTGGGTGTTCCTTTCAAAGTAAAACCTTTTCACTCTGTTATGTGGGGAGGGAGGCACAGCCTGACAGCCAGCTCCCCCCACTCACCCTAAATCAGAGCATGCCAATCTGTGTGTCTCACCCATATACACATGACTCTCAGGAGGATCTCTCCCATTCAGAGTAGATGCCCATTAGAAAACCAATCTACTGATATAGCCGAAGTAGAAATTGGTACGGCTCTCTGGAATAGTCACCCTAATACTTGATTCTTAAGTATGAATAGAAAACTAAGGAACACCAGATGTCTAAGAACCAAGATAAACAGAAGCCCTGACCACAGAATAAAAGGGAATTTAAGAAACAGAAAACTCATATTAGAATTGCCAAAGAAATTTGAAGTAATTGCAACAACCAGACAAGCACAATGCAGTGGAAGAAGAACCATCAGTGAACAAGAAAAAGCTCTTAAATTTAAAATATGACTGGTAGAAATTTTTTTTAATGAAATCTACAAGGTCAAGTGACAGAAATCTCCCATAACACAAAAAAAAACTTCCAAAAAAATCACCTCTTGGTAGTAAACCTGGGCATAGAAAGGAGGATAGGATAGAAGACTGTTGATTTTCATCATAAAAGTTCTCATGTGCTTTTGATTATTTTTCCTTTTGCCATATGCATGGATCCTTTGATTTGCAAAAAATTTTCCATAATTTTAATTTGTTTTTCACCATAAGATTTTGTTCTCCCTTACCTCAGCATTTTGGGAGAGACTTTTAGATTTGTCTATCATATCACTGGTTCAATGAAGTGTCCCTTTTGTTCTTTACTCCTAATCAAGATTGTCAGTCTCTTAATCCATTTTGATATTTACCTTAATCTCATCCTGTCTTACTAAATGGCTCCCTAATTCTGTTTCATAAATTTACCACGCATCCTTTTGAATCTGAATACATCAGGCAAGTGTCCTTTAATTTTTTAAATAAAATTTTTATTTTACAATAATTTCAGATTTACAGAAAAATTGAGACTATAGTACAAAGAGCTCCCATATACCCCATACCCGTTTCCCCTATTAGTAACAAATTAGTATGTTAATTAGATCTCTTAATTAGATCCATTAACTGAAGTCCATTCTTTGATCTTATTTCTTTAAATTTTGCCTAATGCCCTTTTTCTGATTCAGCATCCCACCGAGGATGCCACATTACATTTAGTTGTCATATCTCCTTAGCCTCCTCTTGGCTGTGACAGTTTCTGAGACTTGTTTTTAATGACCCTTACAATTTTGAGGAGTACTGGTCAGGTATACTGTAGGAAGCCCATCTATTAGAATTTGTTAGAATTTTTCTCATGATTAGACTGGGGTTATGGGTTTGGGGAAGGCAAATCACAGAGATAAAGTGCTGTTTCTACCACATCATCTCAAAGGTACATACTGTCAACATGTCCTGTCATTATTGATGTTAACTTTGATCATGTGACTGAGGTGTATTTTTTCAGGTTTCTCCACTATAAATTTATTCTTTTTCCCTCTTCCCATATTTACTCTTTGGAAGGGATTCACTATGTAGAGCCCAAACTCAAGGGATGGAGAGTTATGTTCCACCTCCTGGAGGACTGAGTATCTACAAAAATTATTTGGGATTCTTCTGCATGAGAGATTGGTCTAGTCTTCCCCATTTACTTACTGATTGAGTCAGTCATGTATATTAGTATAGTTTATGAGTATTAATTTTATACTTTGGGTTATTTATTGCTCATATTGTTTCAGCTTTGGCCATTGGGAGCTCTTTCACTTGGCTTCTGGGTGCCTTGGACATGCCCCAGTGAATGTGTTTTTGTTTTTGAGCTCTGATCTAGTTTCTAGTACTTCAGGGTGCTCCAAGCTCATCTTGTATATTTCTTTTTTTTTTTTTTTTTTAATTTTATTTATTTGAGAGAGAGAGCACAAGTCGGCTAGAGGGGCAGAGGGAGAGGCAGAGGGAGAAGCAGACTCCGTGCCGAGCAGGGATCCGGGTGCAGGGCTCTATTCCAGGACCCGGAGATCATGACCTGAGCCGAAGGCAGATGCTTAACTGACTGAGCCACCCAGGCACCCCCATATTGTATATTTCTTGCTCCAGTTCTAGAATAAGTCATTTCTCCATGAAGCCCTGGTTCCTTTATTGAAGAATGGTATTAAAAACTGAGATCTGGGAGACCTTTGACCCCCTTTACCCATTTCTTCCACCTACCACTCTTCTCTGGCAACCACCAATTTGTTCTCTGAGCTTGTATTTTTGTTTGTTTGTTTTTAAGATTACACATATAAGAGAGATCATACAGTATTTTTCTTTCTCTGACTTTATTTCCCTTATCATAATTCCCTCAAAGTACATCCATGTTGTTGCAAATGGTAAGATTTTATTCTTTTTATGGCTGAATAATATTCCTGTGTGTGTGTGTAGATAAATTTCTTTATCCATTCATCTGTTGATGGACATTTAGGTTGTTTTCATATCTTGGCTATTGTAAACCAAGTAAAGTGCTGCAATGAACATGAGGGTGCATATATCTTTCCCAGTTAGTGTTTTCAATTTCTTTGGATAAATACCCAGAAGTGGAGTTGCTGGATATAGGGTAGTTCTATTTTAATTTTTTAAGGAACCTCCATACTGTTCCAGAATGGTTGCCCCAATCGACACCGCCGTCAGCAGTGCACAAGGGTTCCCTTTTCTCCACATCCTCAGCAACACTTGTTATGTCTTGTCTTTTTCATAATAATCATTCTCACAGGGCGCCTGGGTGGCTCAGTTGTTGGGTATCTGCCTTCGGCTGAGGTCATGGTCCCAGGGTCCTGGGATCGAGCCCCGCATTGGGCTCCCTGCTCAGCGGGAAGCCTGCTTCTCCCTCTCCCACTCTCCCTGCTTGTGTTCCCTCTCGCGCTGTGTCTCTCTCTGTCAAATAAATAAATAAAATCTTTAAAAGAAATAATCATTCTCACAGCTGTGGGTTGATACATCATTGTATTGTTTTGATTTGCATTTGCCTGATGATCAATGATGTTGAGCATCTTTTTATGTATCTGTTGGCCACCTGTATGTCTTCTTCGGAAAAATGTTCAAATGTCTTCTCTGGAAAAATATTCAAATCTTCTGCCTATTTTTAAATCAGATTGTTTTGTTAATAATTTGTATGAGTTCTTTGTGTATTTTGGATATTAATCTCTTACCAGATATGATTTGCAAACATATTTGCAAATCAGTCAGTGTGATACACAACATTAAGAAAATGAAAAATAAAATCACATCATTTCAATAGATGCAGAAAAATCATTTGACAGGATTCAACATCCATTTATGATTTAAAAAAAAAAAAAACCTCTCAACAAAATGTATATTGAGTGTGTATTACCTGTCAAGAAGTGGGTGAGTGTTCTTTTAACCCCTGTAATTCAATCAGATAGGTTACAGTTGAGAAAACTCACGGTTTGGTTAAATAATTTGCTTAAGTTCATACATGTAGTAACTAGTACAGCTGGGATTTAGCCTCATGTCAGTGTGACTCCAAAGTATGTACTCTTAGTCACTATGTATTCTCTATAGCAGGATTTCTTTACTTTGGAATTTCTGACACTTTGGGCTGGACAATTCTCCATTACAGAACACTGTCTTGTGCATTGTAGGATGTTTAGCAGGATCCCTGGGCTTCTCTCACTAGATGCCAGTAAGAGCCCCCAGTTGTGACAGCCAAAACTGTCTCCAGACATTGTCAGATTTCCCCTGGTACGAGATTGCTCCTAACCCCTGGCTTAGAGACGTGTAATAAAATGAACCCTGAAAGTTGAATTGCATCCATACTGGGAGAATTGTCAATTGGGTAGAAAGCTGTTTCCAAACTTCCCTGAATGTAATGACTCTTTTTTTTTTTTAAATTTTATTTATTTATTTATTCATGAAAGTCAGAGAGAGAGAGGCAGAGGGAGAGAAGCAGGCTCCCCGCCTAGCAGGGAGCCCGATGCGGGACTCGATCCCAGGACCCTGGGATCATGACCTGAGCTGAAGGCAGACGCTTAACCGTCTGAGCCACCCAGGCGCCCCGAATGTAATGACTCTTATAATTGGGCAAGCTCTTTGGGGAACAGTGAGTGCTCTGCTCATAGTTGTTAAAAGAGATACTGGCTCTTGTGGGAAGGCTTTTCAGTCAATATGCTTTCTGTACAACCTATGTGAATCTCTTGACTTGGCTATATTGTATGAAGACGCCCACTGAAGAACAGTGCCAGTTACTCACTCTGCTAGCAAGCTGTGTTTTCTGTTCAGTGGCCTTCTGAACAAACTGGTGCCAAATACGGCCCATGTAGTCTTGTGAGTCTAAATGTTTAGTAGAGCCTATGACCCTCCTGGTGGACATTGCAGACTGGCCCATAGTGAGTCCTAACAAATGAAAACTTCTAATCATTATAATCTGGGAATGTACTAATTTTAATTAAAATAAAATTGACAGGGCTCCTGGGTGGCTCAGTTGGTTAAGCGACTGCCTTCGGCTCAGGTCGTGATCCTGGAGTCCCAGGATCGAGTCCCGCATCAGGCTCCCTGCTCGGCAGGGAGCCTGCTTCTCCCTCTGACCCTCCCCCCTCTCATGTGCTCTCTGTCTCTCTCATTCTCTCTGTCTCAAATAAATAAATAAAAAATCTTTAAAAAAAATAAAATAAAATTGACATACAATATTAGTTTCAGGTATACAACATATTGATTCTGCAGTTCTATACAGTACTCACCACGGTAAGTGTTGTTACCATGTGTCACCATGTTATTATATTACTACCTATATTTCCTATGCTGTACTTTTCATCTCTGTGACTTATTTTGTAACTGAAGTTTGTACTTCTTAATTCCCTTTATTTTTCATATCTACCCCCCCCGCCACCTCCACTCTGGCAACCACCAGTTCTCTATATTTAAGAGTCTTTTTGGTTGGTTTGTTTGTTCATTTGTTTTGGCTTTTAGATTCCACGTGTAAGTGAAATCATATGGTATTTATTTTTCTCGTCTTATTTCACTTAGCATAATACCCTCTAGATCCATCCATGTTGTTGCAAATAGCAAGGTCTCATCCTTTTTTATGGCTGTGTAATATTCCATTATATATGTATACTACTTCTTTATCCATTCATCTTTGGTTGCTTTCATATCTTAGCTGTTGTAAATAATTCAATAAACATAGGGGTACATATATCTTTTCAAATTAGCGTCTTCATTTTCTTTGGCTAAATACCCAGTGGTGAAATTACTGGATCATATAGTATATCTATTTTTAATTTTTTGACAAACCTCCATACTGTTTTCCACAGTGGTTGCACCAATTGACCTTCCCACCAACAGTGCACAAGGTTCCCTTTTCTCCACATTCTTACCACTTGTTATTTCTTGTCTTTTTGATATTAGCCATTTTCTGACAGGTGTGAAATGATAGCTCATTGTGGTTTTGATTTGCATTTCCTGATGATTATTGATGTTGAGCATCTTTTCATATACCTGTTGGCCATTTGTGTATCTTCTTTGGGAAAATGTCTATTCAGGTCCTCTGCCCATTTTTTAATCGAATTTGTGTGTGTGTGTCAGTGTGTGTATCGAGATGTACAAATTCTTTATATATTTTGAATATCAACCACTTACCAGATATGTCCTTTTCAAATATATTCTCCCATTCAGTAGGTTGCCTTTTTGTTTTGTTGATGGTTTCCTTTACTGTGCAAAAGTTTTTATTTTGATGTAGTCCCAACAGTTTATTTTTGCTTTTGTTTTTCTTGTCTGAGGAGACATACCCATAAATATGTTGCTAAGGCTGATGTCCAAGAGATTACTGCCTGTATTTCTGTTAGGAGTTTGATGGCTTTGGATCTCATATTTAGATTTTTAAATCCATTTTGAGTTTATTTTTGCATATGGTGTAAGAAAGTGGTCCAATTTCATTCTTTTGCTTATAGCTGTCCAGTTTTCCAGCACCATTTATTGAAAAGACTGTCCTTTCCCCATTGTGTATTCTTGCCTCCCTTGTCATAGATTAATTAACCACATAGGTATGGGTTTTTTCCTGTGCTCTCTACCCATTGATCTATGTGTCTGTTTTTGTGTCATTGAAATGTACTTTTTGATTTATCCCTGACAATGAAATGACTCATAATATTTTTTAAATAATTGTTTCTTAACTTAATTTCTAGTGGTATTTCCAATTTTACTCATTTTATATAATCTTATTGATATTTTAGTGAGTATTTTTTAGGTATCGATAGTATAAAGCCTTAATAACTTGAATATCCTTCTGAAGATGTGTTTTGCTTAGTTTTAAAGCAAAAATGTGTTGGGGCACCTGGGTGGCTCAGTTGGTTAAGTGTCTGCCTTTGGCTCAGGTCATGATTCCAGGGTCCTGGGACCGAGCCCCACGTTGGGCTCCCTGCTCAGCAGGGAGTCTGCTTCTCCCTCTCCCTCTGCCTGCCACTCCCCCTGCTTGTGCTCTCTCTCTTTCTCTCTGTTAAATAACTAAATAAAATTAAAAAAAAATAAAATAAAGCAAAAATGTGTTGTCACCTGGTACAGGAGAAATCTAATGGCAATTAAATTATGAGGTTTGTTTTAAAAGGACTATTTCATGTATCACTTTTTGTGTGATGTCTGTGTTTTCTGTCTTTTTGATGGGTGGTGAAGGGAAAGAGACAGTATATTTTCTTGTTATAAAAAAGGGAAACAAGAATGGAAGAATAGTCCATAATATTTATCTTATTAGACAATTTTAAGAATATTATTTGTATTATTTTATCTTTTAACACTATGCTAAAACGTGTTCATTAAATATAGGTCATACTGGTGTCTTTTTTCATTCTCTCAGGTACCTGAATGTTAGCTTTCTGTCTGAAGCTCCTGGAACTTTTCTCTTATTGAGATAGAACTTGGCTGAAATCACATTGCACATATATTGTACACAAGTGCTTAGCCCAAGCCTGAGAATTACTAGAATCCTCTAGTTAGACAAATTCAAACTACAGTGGGAGTTCTGTCCAGGAAGATGCGGCCTCTGAACAAGTTGATGGCTATCTCAAAACCTCAAAACCTGATTCTACATGAACAAAGTGAGGCCCCGAGAGTAGATGTGTCCTGGCAACAGGAATCCATCCCAATCATGGAAACCTATGACTCTGAGGCCTCTCGTCAAAGATTCAGAAATTTCCAGTATTTGGCAGTGTCTGGGCCTCATGAAGCCCTGTGCCAACTCTGGGAGCTCTGTCTTCAGTGGCTGAGACCAGAGGTTCATACAAAGCAGCAGATCCTAGAGCTGTTGGTGCTAGAACAATTTCTGACAATTCTCCCTGAAGACATCAGGACTTGGGTGAATTTACAACATCCAAGGAACAGCAAAGAAGTGGTGACCCTCATAAAGGATGTGATTGAAATACTTAAAGATGAAGGTGAGAATGTAGAAAATTGGCAGTAGAATAATAGTTGACCCTTATGTGGAATCTAAAAAAAAAAAAGGGAAAAATGAGCTCATAGATACAGAGAACAGATTGGTCATTGCCAGAGGTGGGGGGGCGGGGAGGATGGGCAAAATAGGTGGAGAGTCACAAGGTATAGAAACTTCCAGGTATAAAATAAGTCATGGGGATGTAATGTACAGGGTAGTGACTATAGTTGATAATACTGTATTGCATATTTGAAAGTTGTTAAGACATTAGATCTTAAGAGCTCTCATTACAAGAAAAAACTTTTTGTAAATATATATGGTGACAGATGTTACCTAGACTTATTGTGGCGGTCATTTTGCAATATACATAAATATTGAATCGTTACGTTGTACACCTGAAGCTAATACAGTTGACCCTTGAACAACATGGGTTTAAACTGTGTGGGTCCAATTATATATGGGTGTTTTTCAATAAATACAGCACAGTACTGTAAATGTATTTTCTCTTACGATTTTCTTAACACTTTCTTTTCTCTAGCTCACTTTATTGTAAGAATACTGTATGTAATATATATATATAATATGCATTAGACTGCTTATGTTATTGGTATGGCTTCTGGTCAGTGGTAGGCTATTAGTAGTTAAGTTTTGGGGGAGTCTAAAGTTATATGCAGATTTCCAGCTGCTCAGGAGGTTGGTGCCCCTGACCCCTGTTGTTCAAGGGTCAACTGTATGATGTTATATGTTAATTATACCTCAATTAAAAAGAAAAAGAACCCTAAAAAAAGTAATTGACTCTTTCCATATGAAAAGAAATTATCTTGGGGTGCCTGGGTGGCTCATTCGTTAAGCGTCTGCCTTCAGCTGAGGTCGTGATCCCAGGGTCCTGGGATCAAGCCCCACATCGGGCTCCCTGCTCAGCGGGAGACCTACTTCTCCCTCTCCCACTCCCCCTGCTTGTGTTCCCTCTCTCGCTATGTCTCTGTCAAATAAATAAAATCTTTTTTTTTTAAAAAAAGAAGAGCATAAGAGAAAATATATCCACAGTACTGTACTGTATCAAAAAAAATACACATATAAGGGGACCCATGCAGTACAAACCTGCATTGTTCAACTATAGATGGTTCTTAGCTATTACAAAGACCTTCCTTATGGTAAGTCAAAATCAATTATCCTGTATCTTGAACCCACTTTCTAGTTTTAGTCCTAGAACAATTTTCAGTATTCTATACCAGAACTCATTGAAGTAAGTTTCTGTATTGGCCCAAATTCAATTCTCACAGCCAACCACCTACTTGTTTCTTTAAAGTTCCTTTATCTGACATGCTTTGGCACCCTGTATTCATTCTGGTCATCCTCCTTCGAATGAGCCCACTTTACCCAATGAATATCTCTTCCAAAACCAAACAGAAATTGGGATTTTAAAATTGGAGTTTCCCAATCTGAGGCTGACCCCTCCATAGGCTTAGATGTTTGTAACCACGTCTCACTGTGGCTCATCGTGTCTAGAATGGTCGATTCTGGGGACCACTTCAGGTTTCATAAACCCTTAGTCCAAACAATCTGGCCAACAGCCACTTGCCTATTTTACCCAAACATTTACTCAATCACATGTTTAGAGGGGATTCCATGACAACCATTCTATAGTTGCCATGGATACGAGTCCAGGAACCACAGACCTCAGTAGTCAGGAACTACTGACTCTGCAGTAGAAGACCTCCCCAGTGAAGTAAGATCTAGTAGCTAAATTCTTATTTCTTTCATTCATGCACCCATGCATTCATTTTAAATATTTATTTTATTTATTTGAGAGAGAAAGAAAGAGAGAACACAAGAAGGGGGAGGAGGCAGAGGGAGAGGGAGAAGCAGGCTCCCCACTGAGCAGGGAGCCCAAAGAGGGGCTCGATCCCAGGACCCTGGGTTCATGACGTGAGCCGAAGGCAGACCCTTAACCCACTGAGACACTCAGGCGCGCGCCCTCCATGCATTCATTATAAAACCATTTATTGAGCTCTTATTTCATTTTATCTTCTCCGACTCTACTTGTATCCACTATGCCCAGAGCAATGACTGACATGTGTGTTTCACACAATGAAATGTGTGTTTCAGTACACATTTTTGCATTTGTTACTACCCTTTTAAAATTACTGGACCTGCACTACAATAGACAAACTCTTATCTGGGCTGTGAGGATCAGAGAACAATCTCAGACAAACAGCAGTTAAAGTGATATAGACAAGGATATAGACAAGCGATATAGACAAGGATAAAACACTAATAGGTGAAGTTGGTGACTTGGCTGTCCATGATCATCTAAATGAGATCTATTTCAGTAACAGGAGGAAAAGTAAGGAAATGTAAACAGAAAATTTGGACACTAATTTAGAGAAGTCTCGCCAAAGGGGAAAAGAAGAAAGAAGTAAGGGATGAGAAAGTGGGATTGTGAGCTTTTTTTTTTTTTTT